AAGTAACTTCCCCCAGGAGCTGGGCCCAGGGCATGGAGGGCTATCCACTCACACTGGTCTCTTGGCCCTGGGTCCCGAAGCCCCACTGATCTCCCCATGTAGACGGGCTCTCAAGGCATGCATACTAGCCCCACATTCCCAAACTTCAAGTTCTTAGAAGCCGGGGATCACATCTCCTGTACCTTCCACCTTCAAGACTCAAGGATTTGCTGCATGGAATTTAACTCTGGAGTCCAAGTGAGCACTCATTTCTCAGAGTTAAGTTAATTCAAATAAATTATTTCACGGGAAAATATTCATGATAAATTTCACCATAACTGGTTTAAGAACCTGCCTGGAGCTTTCCCTCTGAAAGACAGCCAGACTCTAATCTCTTCCAGTCCCTCTGGTGCCCGCCCGTCCTCTGCACCCTGTTCCAGCTAGCCTCAGCTCTCACCTTCATGACCACAGCAACCTCCAACCTGCTCTCTGCGCTCAAGCCCACACAACCCGCGTTCAACATGGCAGCATCGTTATTCTGTGACAAGTCAGACCATGCCACTTCTCTGCTCAAAACCCTCCGATCACTGAGTCTCACAGCTTCCCATTTCCAGTCCTTACAGTGACCACTGACAAGCCCTACCTGATGGGACCCCACACTCTCATCGCTTCCGCTGGCCCCCTCACTGGCCCCACTCCGGCCGCAGTGGCCTCCTTGTCCTGGCCCCCATCCACTGTCCTCTGCCTAGACATGCACGCCTGGGGAATCCAGTGGCTCAATCCTGCACTGGCTTCTTACCTCTGCTCAGAGCTCACCTCATCGGCGAGGCCTCCCCTGGTTCTTCCCCACCCTGCACTCCCCATCATCTAGACCCACTTTTCCTCTGTGGCATGTGTCATCGCATTCAGTACCACATGTTCTCGGGCTTACTTGCTCCCTGTCTGCACTAACACATAAACTTGAGAAGGCAGGTGGCCCGAAGGCTTAGAATAGTGCTTGGTACACAGTAGGTATTTAATAAAGAGCTGTTCTGCTAACAGAAAACAGATAAACACAACTGACCCTGATTTTATAATTTCCGAAACCCAGCAAAGGGAACGAAGAATTCAAAAGAGCGCTCTTCCTACTTTTGAATATGCTTGTAAAACCCCTTTATAGTAAGGTAAAAGAAAAATAATACAGTTCAAGGAAGCACACAGCCTCTGCTATGCGACTACAGCCAGGAGACAGGATCCAGAGAACAATCACAATAATGAAGAGGAAACCAAGACAAGTCGACTCTCCCCTCTGGAGTGAGGAAAAGGGCCCAGGAGGGAGCAAGCCCAGCACCAAACACGGGCGAAATTCTGCCCGCCTCACCCAGTAGAGCCGGAAGCGCGGTGTGACTGTCTTTATCAACGTTCCGCACACACGTGTGTATGTTAAAGGGTGAGATTGTGCTGGGGAGTTTGCCACAAACCCCAGCAGCGCCTGTCCCTTCCCCGTTACCCACCTGCACTGGGTTGGCCAAACCTTGCAGGCTCCCCATCGCCTCTGAAGAGCAGGGGACTGGCTTTAGGCCAGGGCCTCCCACACCGCCCCCCCCGGGGGGGGCAGGTGGAAATGCCTCCACCTGCCCCCCACCCTTCACACACCCACGCCCCACTCACCCTACACCATCTCCAGACAGGCACAATATGTTTCAATTAGAACAATATTCGGTGTTTACATAAACGATCACTGCGCAAAGGCTGTTCACAGCCTCGCCTTGCCATACACCATAATTATTTCTCTCTTCCTGCACAACAGTCTATTTTCCCTGGAACTAATGACAGTCTTGTGCTCTCATTTGCTTTGTGTTCCATGGACTCATCACTAATCCAGCCCAGCCCCGCCAGCTGTCCACATCTCCTCTCCAGATGTCCCAGCGCCCGGGTGCCATGTCAAGTTCACCTTCCCCAAGAACTCTCTCCGGACAGGTGTGCACGCTGGCCTCCCCTCCTCCTCTCAGGAAAACCCCGTCTCCTCTGGCACTGTCCTTCCAGACTCACCACCTCACTGTCTACCAGTTGATTCCTTAAAGTATGTGAGACGGGAACTTTTGGGGCATGTCTGAAAATACCTTTATTCTACCCTCTTTTGCCTGAGTATAGAGTTCGAGGTGGAAGGTTATTTTCCTTCAGAATTCTGAAAGCCATTCTCTCTTGCTTTACACCTTCCTGTTGCTGTGGACAAGTCCCCACAGCGTTCTGCACCATTCTGTGATGACCTGCTGGTGGCCTGTTCTTATTCTTTTTCTAGAAGCTACCACAATCAGGGGTGCCTGGGTGGCTCAGTGGGTTAAGCCTCTGCCTTCGGCTCAAGTCATGATCTCAGGGTCCTAGAATCGAGCCCTGCAGCGGCTCTGCTCGGCGGGGAGCCTGCTTATCCCCCACCCCCCCGCCTGCCTCTCTGCTTACTTGTGATCTCTCTGTCAAATAAATAAATAAAATCTTTAGAAGCTACCGCAATCTTCCTCCTCCCAGAGTTCTGAGATTTCACAGCAACAGGCCTTGGAGTGGGTGTGCACATCTCTCTCTCCATCTGCACTCTCACTACCCGAATTCTGAAACTGATGGCCTCGAAAGCATTTCCAGATAAATCCCTTGTTTCTCAAACTCTCACTCGTTACTGTGGAAACGTGGCATCCCTCACTGTGCAAACCTGCTCCCCACCCTGCAAGGACCCATACTGGGAACTGAACAGATGCGGAGAGCAAAGGACACCTGCCTTTTCACACACAGTGCTGGCCGTGTAGGGAACCACCCCCTTCCTCACGAAGTTTTGGTTCTAGGAAATTCTCTTGCATTATTTTGTGGACAGCCTTGTCCTATTTTCTCTCTTCTTACTGAAACAGATCATTCAGATGTCAGCCTCCCGCTCTGATCCGTCCCTTTTCTCTCTCACTTCCCATTTTTGCTTTTAGGTCTGTCTTCCCCAGCTCCTCAACTGTATCTTTCACCCACCAACTGGGCTTTTTATTTCTCCAACTGTGTTTTTTTATATCCAAGAGTTCTCTTTTTGGTTCTTCAAGTGTTCCCCCCACTTTCTTTTCTTTTTCTTACTAGAGTGGCCTGCTCTTGTCTCTTGCATACAGTAGTTCCCCTTCTCTGTGTGTGCATGTTAGTGGCAGCCCGCTTGTTCAGTCCTCCTCCTGCACACCCTACACCGCCTGCAAGTGTGAGCTAGGGTCTCTACCTTCCAAATGAGAGGTGTTTTCACATGTACTTGGTTATCTGTTCCTATTTAAGAGGTAGGGTGCCAAAAGAACTTGGAAGCTTTGAACCATGGTGCGGTTCCACCTGAGCCTCCTTAAGGGGGGGCGGGGAGGGCTGGTGTCACTATTTTTAGGTCCTTTCTTTTGAGCTACTCACACTCCCCAAAGACTTTTTCACTCTCCTGCCTGGAGAGGCAAGTGCCAGCTGGTGGTGTCCCAGGAGCCATCAACTCTACTCACTGCATCCCGCCCCTCTCCCCCTACCCAGCTATGCCTGGCATTTCCCATACCTCTCTGCAATATTTGTCAAGTTCTGTAAGCAGTTACAGAAACCGCCACCTGGGTTAACTGCAGGAAGGACGGAGTTGCTGTGTCAGCTATCATGAGGCCCATGTACGCGCGAGTGGCTAAAGAAGCAGCAGCCCTTGGCCACAGCCACAGACACTAAGGAGGTGTGAAACCAACAGCTAGCTTCTGGAGGGAGACAAACAAAATCGAAAATAAGATATAAGTTGTGGGTCTTTTTTTGGTTGTTGTTTTTTTTTTTTAATGGTACACTAGCTGCATCTGCTTCAGCAGTATCAATAACTGTCTCTCCTCCACAAGCACACCTTAGCCTCAGGACCTTTCTAGAAGGCAATCACCTCCCATCTGTGGTGATACGCAGTGATGGCCATGAAGTGCAGGCCCAGTGTTGGCCGTCAGACGCACTTCTCTTCTAGCACCTATCCCTTCCTCGCTGGTATTCCCCAGGCTTCTGCCCCAGACACTCGTCCATGAGAGGGTGTCTCATCCAGGAGGCCCACAAACACTATGAACCCTGCAAGCCTACAAGCTTACAACCCAAATGCCCCTCCACACCAGCTCCAGCACTTCCCATCACAGGCAGCAGCTTTGTCCTTCGAGCAGCCAAGTGAGAAACCTTGGTTACTCTAGCATTTTTCCTTTCCCTTTCACCACACCCTAGAGAGCACCACACGCTGTGAGTTCTCCGGCTTGCTCGAATCTGATGACCCTCTCCACTCTTTCGGCCTCCATCCTGAAGCCATTCCCTCTACAACGGCACCCAACTCAGTCTCCAGCTCCCCACACCATGAACCCATGTTTCCTGTTACCCAGCCCTACTTTTCTGAAACACTTACCTATCACATCCCACCCAAAACCCTGACCACCCTCTCACTGAAGATCAGGATAACAGCCCTAAGTCTAGAACAGCATTCAAGGCCCTTCGGAAAAGAAACCTCTTTTTGGCCTTAGCTTCCACCCCAATCCTCAAACCCCCTTTCTCAATGAATCCAGGTACTTGCCGCCCTGCCCCCCCAAACACCCCAATCCCTTCCATGTCTCCACATGCCCTGCTGCCTCCACCTGGAATGTTCTCTCCAACCTTCACTCGTCCTTCTAGGCCCCCACATCCATCCCACATCTGCACCACGGAAAACTCCAACACCAGGAAATAAACTTCACTCTTCCCCCTTTCTTCACACTTTGTACATAACTGCCTAGACGCACGGGTCACCGTATCATAATCAGCCTAACTTTATCACCAGCAGCTAGCCCAACTGGCCATCCTGCAAAGGACCAGTGGCTTAGTGCTTGCAGGACGGATGAAGCGGGCTCACAGTCACAGCGAGCGCAATTGCAGGCCTGCAAATACCCAACAGAAGTCCTATCAGCTAATTTGCAAGAAAACCACCAAGCAATTCCATGCAGACGCGGTCCAAACGCCCAGGAGCCCGGCCTGTGCTAGGTGTGGGTATGCTCCTGGGGTGGGCAGATTGCAACATGCAAGTGTATCAAACCCGCCCTTGTAACACCTTCATCCTACACAATGTATGTAACCCCGCCTCCATGTAAAACAAATGTCCTGACGTCCCTGTGCGCTCTCTTTCTCCCCCCACCCCCAGACCGAGGCCTGCACCCACACCCTGGCGGGGGGGCAGCACCCCTCAAGGTGCGTCTGCCTGCGCGCGTTCAGCCGGGGCCTCCTGAGCTTGTCCGAGGGCAAGCACAGAGTAAATAATTTAATAAATCGCAGACACACAGTGTCTTGTTGTGCTCCGCGCCAGCCGGACCTCGGCGTGCGCCAGTGGCTCGCCAGGGATGCCCCGCGGCCAGGACCCTGAGCGGGCGGTGGAGGTCCCTCTGTTAGTGGTCAGGGCACGGCTTCCTCGCGCAGGAGACGCAGCCCCGCTGTTTCTGAGCAGAGGGTTCCGGAAGGGTCCCCTTCCAGGCCTCGCGGCCCCGCAGCGGCGGCCTGGGGTCCCCCGGGGCGGGGCCGCGCCTCGCAGGCCGGCGGGAGGTGGCCGCAGCTCCCCGGGAGCACGGCGGTGGGGGTGGAGGGGTGGGGGCGCCTGCTCAGCCCGGGGTCCCAGCGCAGGGTTCTCGGAGCACTGCGGCGTGGGGGCCCCGTTCCGAGCACCGCCGAGCTGGCGTCCACGCTCCCGCGGCGCCCCACAAGGGGACCGGGAGCGCGCCTGCGGGGCGCCCCACCCGCCGCCGCAGCCCTCCAGCGCCGGGCGCCCGGGGGCTCAGAGAGGGTGCGAGCCGGGCCAAGGTCACACAGCGGCCGGAGCGGGGGCTCGGCCCGAGGCCGCAGCAGACCTGCTCGCAGGCTGAGGGAGCCCGGACCCGCCCGCCGCCCCGCCGCCCCGCGCCGCACGTCGCCCCGCGCCCCCGCCTCGCGCGCCTCAGCTCACCTCACCTCACCTCGTCGTCGTCGTCTCTCAGCCACCGCCTCGCCGACCCTCCCGAGGCCGCCCCTCCTCTGCCGGCTCCGCCCCCGGCGCCCGGAGCCCCGCCTCCCGTTCCATATCTCGCGAGAAGTCGCGGACCGCGGAAGGGCCACGGAGGCCGAGGCGCTCCCGCGCTCAATGCGCCTGCGCCCTCCGCACTCAGCGGTCCCTCCCCCCAAACTGGTGCCATGTGGCGCCGTATTTACGACCCTCGATCGGCCCCGCCCCCCGGCTCCGGGAGCCCGCCCCCTTCCCCAGCAGCCAATCCGGTTCTGCAGACCGCGGCGTTGGCTCCGCCTCCAGCGGGTCCGCGCGAGGCGGTTGCGGGACACCGCTTGGAGCCCGGCGCTGTCCCTCTGCGTTTACCGAGGGCTTGCTGTTTGCCCCGCTCCTTCGCGACCTCCGGACCGCTGGCAGAGGGGTCTGGGGCGGGTGACCGAACCTCTCCGAGATTGTCCCAGGTCCGTCCAGAGGGTGGTGCCTTCACCTTGCGGGCAGGTAGCAAAGCCCTAGGCCAAATGACCCTTGTTCTCACCGATGGGTTTTCTTCAGCGAGGGTAAAATACGCATGTGACAAAATTCACCACCTTAACCACCTTAACTTGTTTCATGCACATTCACATTTGTGCAGCCTTCTCCACCAGCCACCCACAGAACTTTTCCAATCCGTGATGGTTTCTGCGGTTCCTCGCAGAGAACAGCAGACTGCCTTCCGAGCGGAGGCTCTGTCCTCACTCCTTGCCCAGCGGCCAGTCAGCACGGAGTCCCCACCAGTTGGATCCTGAGACACACCAAGGCCCTGCCCTCCCGGAGTATCTCTTCTGGGGGGGTGGGGAGGGGAACCGCTAACAAACAAGCCCACCGACTGCTCCTTTCCATTGGATCATCCCCTCCACCTGAACCGTGGTCAGGCCTCTCCCAGCTTAAAAACAAAAACAAAACCAGTACCCTTTACCCCCTCCAGCTAGCACCTCAGCTAACACCTCAAAGCAGTGGGTCGCTCTCCACAGCCTCCAGTTTCCATAAGTCCTCTCCACTCCACTCCCTGGAGGGGAAGAGGTCCCCTGCAGCAGGCAGGCAGCGCCAGCATGGGTGGGATGGCACAGGGCAGGTGCACATGGAGCAGATGCACAAGGGTGGGAGGACATGGGACGGGGTGGCCTGGGACAGGTGCACACAGGGCAGGATGGCATGGGGCAGGTGCACACAGGGCGGAATGACACGAGGCAGGATGGCATGGGGCAGGTGCACATGGGACAGGATGACAAGGGGCAGGTGCACACGGCGTGGGATGGCATGGGGCAGGTGTGCACAAGATGGGGTGCCCTAGGACAGGTGCACACAGGGCGGGACAGCAGGGGGCAGGAGCACAGGGAGAAGAGAAGGTAGTGGTTACATTCTAGGTCTTAAGTTGGTGGTAGGTGATGGGTAGGTTAAATATAAGATATTTATTTCACCTGTTTTGTTTTGTATGTGTCTTAGCTTGCTCAGGCTGTCATAACAAAGTGCCACAGGCTAGGAGACTTCATCCCCAGAAACTGAATCCCTCTCAGTTCTGGAGGCTGGAAATCGGAGGGGCTGCTCCCTTCCGAGGCTGCAAGGGGCAGTCTGTCCCAGGCCTCTCTCTTGGGCTTTTTGGCCATCTTCTCTGTGTCTCTTCACATTGCTTCCCTCTGTCTCTGTATCCACACTTCCTCTTTGGTAAGGGCACAGTCACAGTGGAAGAGGGCACACCCTAACGACCTCATTTTAACTTGATTTCCTTCTTAAAGTTCCTGTCTTCAAATAAGGTCCCATCTGAGGTTCTAGCGGTTAGTACTCCAACATGTCCTTTTTCGGTGAGGACAGAATTTATCAAAAACTATATAATAATAAACTTAAAAATGTTATTTCCTTTTTTAAAAAATCAATTTATTTATTTGACAGACAGAGATCACAAGTAGGCAGAGAGTCAGGTGGAGAGAGAAGGGGAGAAGCAGGCTCCCCGCCGAGCAGAAAGCCCGATGCAGGACTCGATCCCAGGACCCTGCGATCATGACCCGAGCTGAAGGCAGAGGCTTAACCCACTGAGCCACCCAGGTGTCCCTAAAATGTTATTTCCTTTTAAATATTTATGAGAATGGTTAAAATAAAATTTTAAGACGTGATGATACCCGGTGCTGAAGAAGGTGCCGAGAGCCTGGAGCTCTCCTACATGGCGGGGAGGAAGGCCAAATGGCCTGGCCCCTTGGAAAACAGCTGGGCAGTTTTGTAAAAAGTGAGAGCAGAAGTCTACTGCACCAGCCAGCAAACCCACTCCTGGGTATTTGCCCAAGAAAGATGAAGATTTCAATTTGCACAAAAAGCTGCACATGCGTGTTCTTAGTGGCTTACTCATAATTGCCCCAAACTGGAAACAACCCAAAACTCCTTTGACCAGCAAACGATCAGAAAAACTGTGGGACATCCATACGGACAACACAGATGAACCTAGCGTGGGGTCAACCTCAGAGCAGCACACACCCCGTGATTCCACTTAGATGACATTCTGGGTGAGGCAAAACTGTAGTGGCAGGTGCCTTCTGGGGCTTGGGGTTAGGGGAAGGGTGACTACACCAGGGCAGGGGGAGGCTTTAGGGCTGATGACACTGTTCTAGATCTCGATTGCGGTCCTGGTAGTTACGTGGCTATGTTTGTCAAAGTTTCCGTAAACTTCCCATTCAAAAGGACAGATGTTAACGTGTGAGTTAAATATCTTCATTTAAAAAATCTTCTTAAATGTAATTTTCTCCCAGCCAAGGTTTTCTTAATTATGAAGAAGTGGTGCACGACGAAGATAAAATCATTTAGCTAGGGGCCCTGCATTCAGAGGTGCTCGTTTAATATTTCCTCTAGGCCAGCAATTCCCCAACGATGCCTGGAAACAGCAGCCTACAGAGGGGGTTACGAACGCCCCCGCAGAAAGATGAAAGTGATCCCCAGTCAAATAAGAGTGGGCCCAGGAAATTAAAGTTAAAATGTTTAATTACAACCAGACTTCTCAGATCCTTTGCCAGGATAAAGCATGTTGTGGATTTTAAGGAATTCCCCCAGGAGTTGCCCCGAATCTGGGTGGGGCAGGGGGGCGGTGGTCGGTAAAAGTTTGTTTGGATGAAACAGAGCTTCAGATGTCCGGGAGCCAGAGCCAGCATCTCACGTGGGAATTCAAGCAAAGCTCCCAGGCCATTTGGTGAGCACCAGGACCCAGCTCAGGAAACAGGGTGAGGGTCTCGGTGGACAGGACATGGTGCTGAGATAGAACCAGCCCTTCCCTTGAGGGGGAGGGGGAAGGGGGAGCAACAGCAGAATACAGCCAGGTCCCCTTTGGAAGTGATGACGCATGGCGGAACCAGCTGGAGGTCGCGGTCGCTGAGCACCATGAACGGGCTGAACGCCGCTGGAGAGTTCACTTGAAATGGTTGGTTTTCGTCTTGTGTCAGTTTCACCCTGATTAAAAAAAGCAAACCCAAACCCAAACCCAATTCTTCACGTTAACTCTGCACCTACATTCTTGTTTCCCTCTCTGACAGAGCTACGTATTCTCTCCCCATCACAGATAAGGTAGCAGAGGCTCAGAGAGGTGAAGCCACTAGCCAAAGACACACAGCTGTGTAAGTGGCCGAGTCAGGAGCAGAAGCAAAGTCAGGACTCTGGGGCCAGTGCCACCCAGCACTCCGGAGGTTGCCTGGGCCCGGGCACAGGCCCAGGAGTGCACCTGCTAGGCGGGACCCGTGAGCAGGCCAGCTCCAACCAGAAGGTGACGTCCCTCTCCCCCTCCACCAGGCCCTAGGCGCAAAGCTGGCAGACCCCAGCTGTCTGTCTATCTGTCTCTAGGGCAACTTGATTGTCTGTGGCCCGCCTTGGCCCCCCCGGTGCAGAGGTGGCAGCTTCCCCAGGCTGATCCAGCCTGGCTGGCTCAGTCTCTGTGTTTTGGTCTGAGCTATCTTGATGTCCTAAGCTGCCGATGCCTATGTCTGGTTTCTTAACCACCACTGCCACAGGAAAAAGAGAAAAGTGGCTGTGGCCCCGGGCCAGGAAGTGTCACCTGCCTGTGATAGAGGCAGCGGGGAGATCCCGAGTGCTTGCTGGGCACCAGATCGCTGAGCATCTGTGAGGGACAAATGGAAGAATAAAGCAGAGGAGTGAGGGTCCCCAAATCAACCCGAATCTTTGCAGGCCAGAGGGAAAATCCCAGAGAGCAGATGTGTCTGGCCACGTGCGCCCCCTGCCCCACCCCGGGCTCACTGCAGCGTTGCTTTCCACTGTCTACCAGGTGCCAGGGCCCCGCCACAGATGCTGGACCCATTTCCCAGCCCCTGTGCCACCTCTTATCTCTCTGAGCCCCCACGTCCTTACCTGGATAATGCTGGAAATGATAACCCTCCCCTCCTGCAGCAGTTATGCCTGAGAAGGACGGTGTGTACGGAGAGCTGGCCCCTGACAGCCTCTCTGCAGGGAGACCAGCTGCAAGGCACTGGGGTCCCGCTGCTGCTGTTGCGTGGTGGCAGTGTAGGGGCGGGGGTGGGGGAAGAGGACCAGGGTTGGAAAGGAGACGGTGGGCTTAGGACTGGCTGATGGAGGAAGAGGGCTGAGGAGTCAAGGGTGAGCCACCAAGAGAGGTAGGAAACGCTGGAGAACAGTCAACGGCACACGCCTTGTGAACTTGGTGCTGGGCGTGCAGAGTGAGAAACGCGTAGCTGTTGGGAAGACAGCAGGGTGCTTCCTTCTTGAACTCGGGGGGGAAAAAGGGGTGCTGGCTGGAGATGGAGCATCAGAAGTGATCAGCAGCTCCCAGGACCCCAGGGCTCTGGCCAAGCCTGATGTACCACACCCCAAACCCAGTCCTGGAAAACCCTCTCTGCTGCCTTCTGCTTCACCCTCCAGGTTGCTGGAATGGCCAGTAGGGGACAGAGGCCACCGAGGCTCCATTTCATTCAAGTGGCAGCAGGAGTCCCCAGAGGGAAGGAAAGGGGGCCCCTGGAGGGCCACGGTGAGGGGCCCATGGCTCTGGCTCATGGAGCCAGAGAAGCACTGTTAGAGTGAAACCCAACCCCCCAGTCCCGCCTGCTAAGGGCTGCCCTGGGGGATGGACAGGAAGCCAGGGGACCCTGGAGGGAGGAGGAGCCACTAGCTGAGTCGTACCCAAGCCCTCATGATCCACACACAGGCTAACCCGTACAAACTCAGAAAGGATGAGCCAGCTCAGAGAGTACGTGACTCTTTCTCAGGAGGAAGCACAAGAGTGGTTAAAGGTCCTGTCACCTGACGGCTTCTGTCACCAGTGTGATCAGGGGCTTGTCCCTGCTTACACACCTGCAAAGTCACTCCTCTGGGCCACCCACACTTCACGCCATCCTCTGCAGGAAAACCCACCAGCACTCTCCAGTGGGGGCTTCTGCCCTGCCCATCTTTCTCCAGGCAGGATTCTGGAATCTGCTCCCCCATGTCCCTCTCCTTTTGCAGCAAAGCCTCGGAATGACACAGTGCTGGAGTGTTTCCAGCAGCGTCCCCTCTTTGGCAGGTTCATGGGACAGCATCCACCCTGCAGGCAGGCAGGGGCAACTCACAAGTCTTCACGTGTTCTCTGTCAAAGCTCCAGTCCCCCATAGGACCTGTTGGTTCTCCTGCTGCAGTGCCCACACCTCCATCCAGAGCCCTCCTTCGCTGCTCTCCTATCTCAGTCCTTTCCAGCTGCTGGAACAAGATCCCATGGACAGGGACGCTTAGAAACAATACACATTTATTGCTCACAGTCCTTCAGGCTGGAAGTCCAAGATCAAGGGGCCACACGGCCACATTCTGGGGACAGCCCTCCTCCTGGTCCATTGCCAGCACCTTCTTGTTGTGTCCTCATGTGGTGAAGGGGTCCAGGGAGGGCACTGGTCCCATTCATGAGGGCTCCTCCCTCATGACTCAAGACCCCCCCACACCGAGGCCCCACATTCTAATGCCATCATCGCCGGGGGTCGGCATTTCAAAATAGGAATTTGGGGGGTACACAAACACCGAGGCCACTGCACCTCCTGAGTCTCACTCAGGGCTTCTGTGTTTACTGCGTTACCTCATCAGAGCCAACATCACCCGTCTGCCCCCTGCCCTTGCTCTGCCCTTAACCTGGGCTGTACTTCCTCCAGGAGGCCTTCCTTGACTAGCCTCTCTAAAATAGCCTGCTCAGCACTCTGTCCCTGTAGCTTGTTTTCATCACAGCTCTCCCCGCTCATTCTCTGTCCCCACCTTCTCTAGAATGTGGGCTCCACGGTGTGTGGCTGCCCAGGAGTGGCTGCGTCCTCGGCACTTAGTGCCAGTGGGGGCTCCATTGGCCCCGCCTTGGGCCTCCCTGGATCCCATTTCCCTCCCTGACCGGCCTGGTACCTTTTTACCACCTGGACCTCGGGTCACAGGCAGAGGAGAAAGCTGACCCTCCAAGTCTCAGAGCAAACCTTCCAGGAAGACCTCTGGCAAAGTCAAGGGCGGAGCAAAACTCCCTCCCTTCCTGGGAGGGGCCCCGTGGACCAGATCGGGGCTCGCAGCACGCACAATCACACAGGCACACACACAGCTACGACAGGGGTTCTAATCGGGGACATAGCAGCCCGAGAAACTTGGGGAGAATCCTTCTGTAGAACAAAGACTCCTTTTCAAGGGCTGAGTCCTACCCCTTCGTCCCAGCCCCACCGGCTCTCTCAGCAGTGGCTTGGGCCTTGCAACACGGGTTTCTGTCTCTGTGGCTTGGGAGTTCTTTGAGAAATAATTCACATCCACCACATTGGCATATGTTATATAATTGTCATCATATAGACATAAAAGCATTTCATACATACTGTTCGGAGCCTCTATTTTTTTTTTTTTTCAGTTGGTGTATTTGAGAGAACTGCCCACACCAGCATATAATGGAATCACGGCTGTTTTAAAAATAATTCCTTTTTTTCCCCCCACATTAAGTCATGCAGGAACACAGTAAAGATTGAAATAGGTAGAAAATGGATGCAGTGAAAAGGGGTCTGCTGCCCATGTATCCCCAAGTTCCGCATTGTGACCCGTTTCTAGGATCTCCTTCCACGGCTGTCCCCCTGGCACACTCAGGTGACTGTAGACCCTCAGGGTCGTGTCTACTGCACATCCCAGCACCTGCCCAGCACCTGCCCACCTACCCACAATCCCAGCCCAGTCACCTAGTCATGAGTAACCAAGGCAGTGCTCCAGGTCCCTGGGCCACAGGCAGATGACACCCCCCAGAGGCTTGCAGTGAGGTGAGGGGCTGGGTAATGGTTTACCCTCCCCCTTCTTTGACAGTGTTCGTTTCAGTGCCTGTGTTTCCTTGCCTCACCTGGGTCCCAGCACGGGTACAGCAAAGCCCCCAGATGGCTGCTCTGCCTGTGTGCCCCTCTGCACATCTCCCAGCACGTCACACTTCTGCGGAGGGGACCAACCTCCCCACACACACAGATGTCCCAGGCCAGGGCCCCGGCCCTGCACCCCCAGCTCTGAGCGCAGTGCCTGCCCGCACCCACTCATTCACTCACCCTTTCATTCCACAGCCATCCCAGGTACCTGCTCCAGGTCAGGGAGGATGCAGAGACGTAAGGCAGGGCCTGGTCTGTGGTGCTGAAGGTGCGGTGGTGGGGACACTCACAGAAAGACAGTCATCACATGGTTCGCACACTCAGTGATGGAAGAGGCTCTGAGTCCCGGCCCAGTAGGCAAGGGGTAGAGGCCTCCTGGGTAAGGACCAGAGGCTGGCGGGGAAGGTGGAGAGGGCTTCGAAGCCGACAGAACAGGATGAGCAACAGCAGTGAGGGAGGCGGGAGACAGGTGCGTGGATGTGCAAGTGTGTGTGTGTGTGTGTGTGTGTGTGTGTGTGTGTGCGCGCGCGCGCATGCGCAAGTGTGTGTGCACATGAGTGTATGAGTGAGTGTGTGTGCAAGGGATTTCTTTGTCCCGGATGCCTTTGGCCCTCAGACCTCACCTTGGCCTTCACCTGCAGCCTGTGGACAGTGCCGAAATGCACTTGGCTCTGAGTTTTGAACCAGAGTTTCCATTCTCTGCCCTGGGGCTCCTCTACTGCTGGGGACAGGGCGAGACACCCCGGCCACTTGCGAACACAGCCTAATGCAGAGCCAGTGCCCCCCGGATCCCGTCCCCTGATGCTTGGGGGTCCACTCCAGAGGCTTGCCTTGTAAGCCTGGGTCCCGGCAGCCTCCGCCTCCCGCTGCTGGCAGCAGCTCCACGGTAGTGCCCATGCTTGGTGGCTTTTCCTCTCTCCCCGCCCCCTGGCATCACCTCCCCCAGAAGCCACCTGTGCCCTATTGTGGCAGCCTCTGCCATGGTGGAGACCTAAGTGGAGACACTTCTGAATTTGGGTTATTCTGTGGTAAAACTGGGAAGCTCATGCTCCCAGTCATTGAAGAGGACTTACCTCTGAGAAGGCAGGGGGTGGGGGAGGATGTATTATCGCTCCCTTTATATAACTTTCTGTCTTTTTAAAGTGGTGAGATCACAGTGTGACCCTCATGTCACAAGTGCAAATCTGCAGTCACCTGAACTCCCATGCACCCACAGACAACCCCTGGGGACATTCAGACACTTATACAATTGTCCTCGGTCATTTTGGGCTCAAACTGGGCCAAATTCAAGATCTGCCCCCAGCCTCCGTCCCCCAGGTTGACCCTGAGCTCAGGGGTCTCCCTGGCTGTCACAGACCGGCACAGAGCAGGTGACCCTCTCCAGCCTGGCTCTTCCCGGTCTTGTGTCACCTCCCATGATGGCGAATTTCATGTGTCCACCTGGCTGGGCCGCAGTGCCCACACAGGTCAGATGTTATTCTGGATGTTTCTGTGGGGGTGTTTTGTGGTGAGATTAACATGTAAATCAGCAGACGTTGAGTAAAGCAGATGGCCCTCTGTAAAGTGCGTGGGCCTTGTCCCATCATCCCAGGGCCTGAACAGAAAAGAAAGCTGACCTGTCCTGAGCAGAGGGCGCTGCCCCAGGTGTCCCCTGCTGACTCATCCCGCAGACGGTGGACCGGCCAAGCCTGCACAGTCGCACCAGCCAGTTCCCTAAACTGAATACCTCCACACACACACCCCCTGGCAGTTCTGTTTTGCTGGAGAACATTAATACCCACCATGAGGCTGGGGCCCCCATCCCCCATCCCCCAAATGTAAGTGCTTCCTCAGCCCTTTCTCAGGTGCATGGGCCAGGCCGCAGCTCTCTTTTCAGCCCAGCTCCAGATGTGGTGTAGGAAGAGCAGGAGTTTCTTCTGCACACTCATGCCAACCTAGGAACCTCTTGGGGTCCATGCCTGACCCCAAGCCTCGTCCCGCCATCCTGTCATTTCTAATCTGCTGATGTCACTTCCCAGAAGTACCAGGGACTTCTCCACCTACAACTGGCAATTGTCTGGGCTTCCCCTCCCTGATCAGTTAAGATGAGGTGCACTTGTTCCTCTATCAAGTCCGCATCTGGGGGATGGGATGTAACAATGCTGAGAGGCAACTCTGCTCCTTCCAGCTGCCTGCTCCACCCTCCTGAGGGCATGGCCTTTGTCCTCAAGGCCTCAAAATGGTGGCTAGAGTTCCAGCCATCACATGCAAATTCCAGGTAGTAGGACTGAGGAAGTAAAGAAGGCAAGAAGCATGAAGAACGTGCTAATGATCCTTTGTGCTCAAATTTCCTGTAAGCAGCTGCTTCTGGCTTGTACCCCATCTGTAAGAACTTAGTCACGCAGCCATATGCAGCTGCAAAGGAGGGTGGAACATCCAGTCCTTATTTGGGAAGCCATGTAACTAGCTAAAAATTGGGGATTCTATTACCCAGAAGAAAGCAAGTAGAAATGGGGGGCAACCAGCAATTTTTGCCCTACCCAGGATCTGGGGCCAGGGTGGGAAAGAAGGCGTTATCTCTGCCTCCAGGCTCAGCATTGCCCCCTAGGGAAGGGGAGGTGGGCATCAGAGGATGTCCCCAGCAGGTCTGCTCACAGCAGGCAGCAAAGCCCCCAAAGATTATGTGGGACCGACCTCCCCTCCACACACTCCTCCAGAAGGCCCAGGAAGGACAAGCCCCCTGCAGGTCTTCCTTGACAGTGGGTCTTACGACGAGAGGGGAGGCAGGCTGTGGTGTCCAGCTGTGGCGTTTGCACAACACATATGAGCTGTCCCCCTGTGCTGGGCACCCATGCGTCCAAGACAGCCCACTTCCCAGGTGGGCTGTGAGGCCCCACCACCACCTCCTTTCGGCCCCAAGCCCCAAAGTGCTACAAGTGGCTTCCCAGAGCCACTTGCTTCCACCGGATGCCGCAGCCGGCGGGGATCCTGCTGCTAGGGAGGCGGCTCCAGTCCCCATGGCCCCCACACGGGGTGCCCCTGAGAGCCCATCATGCGGGCAGTGGATTGAAAGACACAGAAGTGCCAAAAGCAGACTCAGAGAAGGTGACGGCCTGGCGCTCTGTGGACGGTGCTCCAGGTTTCCCAGACTCTTCTATCCTGATGTGACCTTAGCGCCTCGGTTCCTGGGTTCGCAGCCAACACACTGGCTCCTGACCACTGGCCATGGTGTCCTCTGCACGGGGGCGCGTGGGGAGGGACATGAGAACATAGTGAGGGGGTGGGCGGGTCACAGGAGTGGAGGGTGTTCTCATTCCCGATGCCGGCTTGTTCTGGAGCCCGTAGACACACGGAGATGGAATGCTGACCCTTGGCTGGCCAAGGCTTATGGAAAGTGGGGGTTCA